GATATCTTCAAAAGACTTTTGAATTTTGGCGCACTTTTTTTCCTCTATATAATGTTGATATGGTAACTAGTAAAGGCTGTAAATTTGGTTATGCTAGCATGTGTGGAAATATTTAAACCACGTGTGTTACAATTTACCCCGCGTTACTTTGTGCCCCGCACTCCCCTATATTATATTATATTATATTATATTATATTATATCAGTTGTCTAATTCTTATCCTGTCGGCTCTGTCTGGGTGTATTTTGTAGAGTTTATATATCCCCTTTATCTGTTTTAAGGGAAACATAGAAAAACAGGCAGAGATGTGGCCATCAAAGTAATAGACAAGATGAGATTCCCCACCAAACAGGAGAGCCAGCTGAGAAATGAGGTTGCCATTTTACAGGTGATCAGTCTTTTTAATTTGATTATTGAGAAATTGTGGCTGTAGATACCACTCGAACAGTGTCTTCCTTATTTCATAATGCTGGAGACAAGTGGTCCTCTTTAATATGTTTAATATGTGACTGCTGTTCTTTTCTTACAGAATTTGCATCATCCTGGCATTGTAAACCTGGAGTGTATGTTTGAGACTCCAGAGAGAGTCTTTGTTGTCATGGAGAAACTCCACGGTGACATGCTGGAGATGATTTTGTCCAGTGAGAAGAGCAAACTTCCAGAGCGCATCACCAAGTTTCTGGTCACACAGGTTTGCAAATATCTTTGTTTTCTTCTGTCCTTGCAAATCCTATTTTTCATGTTTATCTCTTGTATTCTGAAGTGCATTTTGTTTCGATGAGGCAGTAGTCTGGATCTCATCTAGAGCTAAATTAGAGCGGCGAGTCTGTGGGTTGAGCAGTTGGGCCCCTGGGGGCCACGAGAGCTCATCTATTAGTCTTGGATCTGAAGCCACAGAGCTGCTGTGATGTGGCTAAGATGCTTCTGTTTCAATGAATATAAATGGCGATGTTTAATGATTGTGATTGCATCCATGTTTGTTCTCGACATGTAGCCCAATGCCCGATGTCAGTGGTGTTGGTCTCGCATCCTATCAAACCAAGCATTCATACACCACTGTTCAAAATTTGGGGTCAGTAAGATTTTTTAATGCTCTTGCAAGAAGTCTCTTAAGCTCACCAGTGTTGCATTTATTTGCTCAAAAATACTGTAAAAACAGTGATATTATGAAATATTATTACAATTTAAAAATAACTGTTTTCTATGTGAATATATTTTAAAATGAAATGTATTCCTGTGATGCAAAGCAGAATTTTTTTTAGCATCATTACTCCAGTCTTCAGTGTCACTGACATGCTAAACATTTATTTATTTATTTATAAGTTTTTATTGTCACTTTTGATGACATCAATTTAATGTTCTTGCTGTATTAAAGTATTAATTTCTTAAAAAAAGAAAAGAAAAAAAAGTTGTGTTACTAAAAACATTGTTACTAACCCCAAACCTTTGAACAGTAATGTGATATGAGATTGAATGAAGTCCTGATGGACATGAGTTTTGTTTTTGGTGTTTTTATGATTCTTAAGCGTGTTTTTACATTTCCTCTTGCCTGTATTACCTATTAAAACTTTAATATTAAACTAACCTTTAATTCGCACAGCATGCCTCCTAAATATGTTACTGGCATTACTCTCAGTCTATCAGTCCAGAAAGCTTGAAAGCTGTACTGTAATATTAAACTGTAGCAGCTCATCTAGAATGTTTTCATACTGGGGAGAAATCACATCTATCTATCTATCTATCTATCTGTCCGTCCGTCCGTCCGTCTATCTCTGTCTATCCATCCGTCCGTCTGTCTGTCTGTCTATTTATCTATCTATCTATCTATCTGTCTGTCTGTCTGTCTGTCTATCTGTCTGTCTGTCGATCTATTGATCTGTCCGTCTATCCGTCTATCTCTATGTCTATCCATCCGTCTGTCTGTCTATCTATCTATCTATCTATCTGTCTGTCTGTCTGTCTGTCTGTCTGTCGATCCATCAATCTGGCTGTCTGTCTGTCTGTCTATCTATCTATCTATCTGTCTGTCTATCTATCTATCTATCTATCTGTCCGTCCATCCGTCTATCTATCTGTCCATCTGTCCGTCCGTCCATCTATCTCTGTCTATCCATCCATCCGTCCGTCTGTCTGTCTGTCTGTCTATCGGTCTGTCTGTCTATCTATCTATCTGTCTGTCTGTCTGTCCATCCATCCGTACGTACATCTATCTCTGTCTATCCATCCATCCATCTGTCCGTCCGTCCGTCCATCTATCAGTCTATCTATCTATCTATGTATCTATCTGTCTGTCTGTCTGTCTGTCTGATCATCGGGGAAAAATCTTTTCGCCGCTCAGTGGTGGGCACACCAGCGTATCTGGCCCCAGAGGTGCTGCGCAGTAAAGGCTACAACCGTTCCCTGGACATGTGGTCAGTGGGAGTCATTATCTATGTCAGTTTGAGTGGCACCTTCCCCTTTAATGAGGACGAGGACATTAACGACCAAATCCAGAACGCAGCTTTCATGTACCCACCAACACCCTGGAAAGAGATCTCTGCAGAAGGTAAGCAGTCACGCTTTACTGATTTCAAGCTACTTTCTAAACTAAAGAATTAACCTGTTTTCTCAGCACCACCGTGTTTTTGTTACAGAGCAGTTGCAGTTGCTGAGAATAAACCAAAATATAAACTGGTTTCGTACATTTTTGGAAGAAATATGCAGTAGTTCATGACGGATAAGGTGTTTTCATTTGTCTGAAGAAAGAGGGAGATGTCTAGATGTCTGTCAGACAGTGCGCAGACTGTCCACCCCCACGTCTGTTTAGAATAGTTCTTTCCGCCCAGGACCTGAGAGATTATATCAGCCTCTCCCAAATTCAGTCTGTCACACTCCTCTACCAGACTATAAATGTAATTTCTCTGTCTCTGTGTTTCACATCATTACATGGTTAGTTTTATAGTTGAGTTTATTTTTGTTGGAGTAATTATACTCAAATTCATCATTACAATAGTTTAATTTATTGTTGAACATTGTGTGAAGAAACTTACATAGCAGCTCTATACTTATTTTGTGTTTCTGTATTACCATTCTAAATATCCTGGTCTATCACGTTTTTTTCGGAGAACAATTGTTTTCAGCATTGATAAAAATAAGAAATGTTTCTTGAGCACCAAAAAGAATCATGTGACACTGAAGACTGTTGTTGAACTTTCGGTTACACTTTATTTCGATAGTCCACTTTAGACATTCTATTAACTATAAGTAACTTTGTAACTACATGTCAACTATGTCAACTAATTCTCATTAATTTGCAACTAGATGTCTACTAACTCTCAGAGTAGACTGAGGGTAGGTTTAGGGTTAGTAGAATCAGTTGACAAAGAAAGTGTTAGAAGATATTAAGCAGACAGTCTACTAATACTCTACTAACTGCTAGTTGACATGTAGTTGCAAAGTTACTTACTGTTAATAGAATGTCTAAAGTGGACTATCGAAATAAAGTGTTACCGAACTTTCAGCTTACAAGTCCAATCGGACTAGTAATATACTCCAGTATTCCAATACTTCTTGGGACTAAACTGGCTTTAAGTTTTTCTTTTGTGTTGCTGTGAAGTAGAGGTCGACCGATAGTGGATTTTACCGATACCGATAGCTAGGTTGGACCACACTGGCCGATACCGATTAATCAACCGATAGTTTTTAAAATGGTAAACGAAAACTAAAACAGAGCTTTACTATTTTTAAAAAAGCAGTAGCAGTACTGAACCATACTTTGTAAATGAATAAACATATTAATATTAATTATTATATTGATCATTAAAGTTATTTCATAGTTTACTAACGTTAAAAAAAGAACCTTTAAAAATGTACAAATATATCAACTAAGCTCTCTACACTGCGCAATGAATCTCTTATTTACACCCTGTCTACACTTTGCTTATGAAAGGATTCATGAGATATGTCTGTGATACATTACTCAACGCTGCAAAAACGCGTAGAAACTTTTGAAGCTCCCCTCAGCGATCACAATCACAAGTATGATGATGATCTGGTCAGTCGCACTGGTGCTCCTAAATATGTTTTCATAGTCGCACGCAGTAGTTTTCGGTCGCACTGTAGAGCCCTGCGATGCGTTCTCGGAGAAGTCACACACCAGACGCGTCACTTTCAATTCCAGCAGCGGTCTAAAACTGTGTATTTAATCACCAAACGGACATAAGTTTGCTTCAAGACTGAACAATGTGGCATAAATGAGTTTGAAGTTCGGTGTTTAAAAAAAACAGAGCAAAGGGAAAGAGAAAGTGCAATCTTTACAGCTCTCTATATGAAGCATAAAGACTATATTAGAGCCTCAGAAAGAGCACAATACATCATTCATAGCCTAGGGTGAAGTCATTACGTACATTAACAATGATTTAGGACAAATATAATGTAATTTAATGGAAAACTATGTGAATGGCGCTCTGTTCCGCGGCAGGATTTTCTTTTGAGTTTGAAGTTTCCCGCTCTGTGCAGCGCAGTGTCACGTGTCAAAACAAACAACACGTGCTGTTAGTGAGTTCCGCCTCTAGAGGCCGCTCTCGTACTGTATAATGGCAGCGGACCCTTCTCAGCCACTCCAGCAACGGACGCAACCCGGAAAACTATCGGCATTGATTTTTGCCGATAACCGATAGTTCCGCCAATCAACTATCGGTGCCGATTAATCGGCAAAACCGATGAATCGGTCGACCTCTACTCATAATGTAAAAAAAAATGTAAGCATTTTTATTTAAATATTTATTAATTTTGTTGTTAAATCTCTTTAATAATTGTATTTGTTTTACATTTTTTATTTAATAATTCAATTTTTTATTTTAATTTAATGCCATATTTTTTTCCCCAAAAGTTTCTTGTAATATTGTAAGTTGTACTCCAGCAACAGATGCAACCCGGAAAACTATCGGCATTGATTTTTGCCGATAACGGATAGTTCTGCCAATCAACTATCGGTGCCGATTAATCGGCAAAACCGATGAATCGGTCAACCTCTACTGTGAAGTATACTGTGAACTTATAGGTATACTATTAGTTATATACTTCTAGCCCACTTTCTAGTAGTTTATGGAAGCACACTTTGAATTATACTCCGTAAATAGCTAAGAGTTTCCTCTTAAAACCTATTTACAAAACTTTTACTAGGAATTGGGAGAAATCTTAAGCTAAGAGAAAGGGCGGGGTTGATCTTGTTGCTATGGATGATGAAGAATTGAATGAGAATGAGAAAAAAATGGAAGAATTATGAGAAAGAAAATTTTATGTACTTATCAGAGATATAAAGTACACTAGATGTATACTCTCATTTTGGGGTTAAAACAAGTACACCAACAGCACACTATTTATGTAAGGGTACAGATTTATCTCTTTGGAAATGTGGCCCAGATCTGTAATATTGTAACATTCTGATCATGTATTAACCATCCTATCTATGTCCACAATCTCCAATTGAACTCTACAGCTACAGATCTGATCAACAACCTTCTCCAAGTCAAGATGAGGAAGCGTTACAGCGTGGACAAGACCCTCAGTCATCCGTGGCTACAGGTAAGGAACCTAAAAACCTGCAAAACGGCTTCTCTGAATGTTTTAGAGCTTTATACCTCAACTTATACATGTCTGCACTGCCCCAGGACTACCAGACATGGCTCGATTTGCGAGAGTTTGAGACGCGCCGAGGGGAACGCTACATTACTCACGAGAGCGACGATGCACGCTGGGAAAAGTACTCTTACGAGCACAGTCTGGTGTATCCGAAGCACTTCATCATGGCTCCAAACCTCGATGATATGGACGAGGACCCCTAGTGGCCATATGAGCCGAACTGAAAACGAGGTCAGATGAAGGCGGCGACCTGTTAATGGTCTGTTGCTATGGAGATTGAAACGCATCAGCAATCTGAAGCAGACTTTGAGGGGAGCAAACTGTTACAAAGCCAGCGAGGTCGACCGCTCTCTGGATGTCAACACGAGTCATCCACACTGCTAATGAAGATGAAGGCTGTTTCAGAGAGTGGAAATGCAGTATTCGTGGGGAGTGCATTCAGAAGTCTTAATGACTCTTCTTTTCCAAACGGTGCTGTTATGTTTGTTTCTTATCGAGGTGTGTGTTCCGAATGTCAGAAACTCGCGTTACAATAATATAAAGGTTAGTAACAGATGTGAATATTGGGGAGAACGATGCAGTTGTTTATAGTAGTTTCATTTTGAAAGCATCAAACTGGAACGTGCGTTTTTGAAATTCCTATTCTATGATTTTCGAATTCGTTTTGTCCTTAAATATAGGTTACACAGCAGACTGAATGATTTCAAAAGGGTCGTTTTTTTGCACTAAACAATACAACCACTGCAGCTGGTACAATTAAATGAATTATGTGACGTAACAGTACACCATTCTTGAAGAATCCAGAAGATGGCGCTTGTGTCGGACAGCTACACTCAAGCTCTGAATGGGAAGGAATGGGAAATATTATCTTCAGCGGATAAAGACATTCGCGTCAATCGTGACTCTTGTTCTTACGTCGTTTTAGAGCTGATGTTCTCAGAGCCATTCTGTTTATTTATTCCTCGTACTGCAGTCTTAAAATCTAATAGCAGCTAAGCAGTGCAGAAAGATGTGTCGGTCAAAAGCCTACTGTGAGAAAACTTTATGACTTATTAGCAAAGCTCTTTTAATACAAAAAAGTAATGTATTGAAAATAACTGCTAACAACTTTTTATTAGAAGAAGATGAACAGTGTTATATCCTTTTTGTTCCTTTCCTTTTTTCTTTTTTTTAATATGGTATGTATTGTACTCAAGAATGAACCTTTCTATGAATCCCAGAACTGGAAAATCTGAAAAATATTTTTGGTAATGGACTTTTTGTTGTTGTACAAACCACCTACAATATTAAAATTAAGCTGGATCCTCTATACACACACACAACCTAGTGAAAATGAGCAAATATGACGGGAAAAGAAGCCATTTTTAAGTAGTTTCGTTTCATTGTCCATGAAATGAAAACTGTACCATACACAATGAAATATGGGAGAAACAGATTGAGGATTCCTCTGAATCATCACATCTTGATCACTATGTTGCCGCTGGATTGGCAAGTGTAAGTGTTCTGTATATTTTAGCACATACTGGTTCAATAAAAGCTATACACTCCATGTGTTTGGGGTGATTATTCAAGGTTTCGGATTTGCTGATGGTGGAGGAGAGATCTGACAAAATTAAGTTTTTGACATTTTTGCAGGTCATGAAATGATCAGCAGACCCAATAGACCTGGGCATGTCTGCACCAGAATATCATGAGGAGTTTCACACATACAGCCCTTTACACAAAAGTACTGCTATATTTTTGTTTACAGATCTTGTGTGAACAAGACGAATATCGGTTCTGGCAACTTGCTGTGCTTCACAAGTCAATCATCACTGTATTGCATTGCATTATATGTTTTGATAATAAAACTAAGCATTTAAATACCAATATTCTTATATATACTTTGTGTCAAAAAATGTTTCATATGGCAGGTTTTACTGGCTGGGTTAAGCATCTGATGTTGTGGGTCTGTACGGCTGGTGTGTGTGTGTGTGTGTGTGTGTGTGTGTTCAGAGCAGTGAGCCACAGTATGAGAGTGGCACCACAAATCAGCTCCAATCAACAGCAGCTGGATGCATTTATGTAACCGCTGAGATCAGGCGCTGTGGCCTTCCTCACAACACTCACATTTATGAAACGGAAGAGGACTGGCTAAATTTACTTTCATATTTAAATGAGCTGTATGTCTTCATGTTTCTCAGAGATTAACACATTTGGATAATCTGTGTCAAATGGTGCTATATAGAACCATACGAGTAACTGCATTCTCCTCAGATTTTAGATTCGTTACTCCACTCTCACAGGTTTGCTATGAATGGGAATTTACTACAATGGAAAAAGCTGTCTTGAATCACATTTATGCTTGAGGTCAGTAAGTCAAGTGTAGGGGTCCTGGAATATTTACTCTCAGCAGGGTCTTGGGGGCAAAAAGATTGAAAACCATGTTATCTTCAGGAAATACACTGTATTTTAATGTTTTTTAATCCTTTCGCCAACTAAGCTAAGAGACTAAGGAGAGTTAGAGAACCTTTAAATAACTATACAGGGGCTTAACGGGTTCTTCAACCACCCCAAAAAAATGCTGAAGAACCAATTGTGTGTGTGTGTGTGTGTGTGTGTGAGTGTGTGTGTGTGTGTGTGTGTGTGAGTGAGTGAGTGAGTGTGTGTGTGTGTGAGTGAGTGAGTGTGTGTGTGTGTG